GGAGGAGGCGAGGAGCGCCGGGTACCGGGCCGGGGGAGCCGCGGGCTCTCGGGGAAGAGACCGATGATGAACAAGCTTTACATCGGGAACCTGAGCCCCGCCGTCACCGCCGACGACCTCCGGCAGCTCTTCGGGGACAGGAAGCTGCCCCTGGCGGGACAGGTCCTGCTCAAGTCTGGCTACGCCTTCGTGGACTACCCCGACCAGAACTGGGCCATCCGCGCCATCGAGACCCTCTCGGGTGAGTGCTCAGCGCTGCCCCTTCCCCCCTGCTCCGTCCCGTTCCAGCCGGGACGCAGCCCGCACGGAGGGCCGAGCCCTGCGGGCGGCGCCCGGCGGGGGCTCCCGTGCCCGCACGCTCTCACTTCCACGCACCGGCTCAACTCTCGTCTCCAGCCCGCTCCCGGGACGGCCCGCTCCCCTCCCCCCGCAGCCCGGGGCTCACCCCTCGCCCTCCGGGCCGCACCTCTGGGGCACCTCCCGGGTCCCTCCGGGGGGGTCCCCGGGGCTCGCTTGCTCTTTGGGCGCACCCATAGGGCCCCGTACGGCTCTTCATAGGCCCCCACCCCCACCCTTGTACCGTCCGATGCCCCCCCACCCCAGGTTCACTGACCTTCCCGTCACCCCCTTTGCAAGAGACCCCCTCTCCCCAAATCCGGCATCTCCTCCTTCCCTGGCCGGACTTTCCTTCCCATGCCGCGTGCCCAGAACCTCCCTGAGCCGCACTCTGGTTTTGAGCCCCCTCCTCACCTGTCTTCCCCCCCCCACTTTCGTCACCCCTCGGTTTCACCTGGATGGTCCCCTCGAAGTCTCGGGGCTCCCCCCGCCCCAGCCCCGCACGCCCGCACATCTCCCTCGCTCCTCTCCCGAAGCTCAGTCCCCTCGCTGGTCTCGCAAGCGCTCCTATTTTTCCCTGAATTTTTTGTCCGATTTTATTGAGAAGAACTCGGGGCTGGGGGCTTTCCGCCGCCCGTCCCCCTGCCTCCCGCTCGGCCAGAAGCACCTTTTTACGAGGTGCCCTGTCTCAACTCGGTGGGGGCCCGGGCTGAGAACCGGGAAAGAGGAGACCGGGGGGCCCGCGAGCGCGCCGGAGCCCAGACGGGAGTCGGAGAGCGACACACACACACACACACACACTCGCGCGCGCGCGCTCTCCCCAGCCCTCCCTCCCGCACACGCTGCGCGCGGAGCCGCGCTCGGACCCGGGCCCCGGGCCCCGCGGCCCCGCTCGGCCGGAGCCCCTTCCCCAAGAGCGCGTGGGGTGGGGGCGGGGCGGCGGCCAGGCCAAGGTGACACCCAGAAGCGGGGGGGGGCCGGGGCTGGTCGCTGCTGCACACCCAGGGGGGGCTTCGGTGCGTCTGTTTGGGGTCACCGGGAAGGTGGGTGGGTGGGGGGGTCGCACGTGGTGGAGCCTTGGCGGTCCCGGGTTTTCGGAATGGAGAGGTGGGGGCCGGCTCGGGAACGGGGCCGCGCCAGCCTTGCAGCTTGAGTTTCAAATGAGCTCATCCTTTCAAATTGGCGCCGCTCTTTATTAAATTTGTTTTTCCGGTAATGCCACCCACAGCTCTACCTGGGGTCGGAGCCGACCTCGCACCCTTCCTTTCGGGGCCCGAGAGCCGAGAAGCCCACCTTGAATTACTCTGGGTACTAAGTTCGCTGGGCTGGCGCGGGGTGGGAGACCCCTGGAGGGCGCCCGAAGGCGGTGCCCAAACTTAAGAGTTGTGTGTCTGCCCCTCCTAGACCCCCGCGCGTTTGGTCTCGGGAAGGTTCTGAGTGCTTTAAATTTCTGTTTTTAAAGGTAAAGTGGAATTGCATGGGAAAATCATGGAAGTTGATTACTCAGTCTCTAAAAAGCTAAGGTAAATATATTTTGTTTAGATTCTTTTTTTTTTTTTTTGCTGTTGGGATTACGTGTAAGTAAAAAAAAAATAAAAAACCACCCAGCTTTTAAAAACATGCCCTTAGTTTTGAAAAGGATTTTCGTGGAGATAGATAGCATAGAAAGTTACATTGATTTACTTTTTTTTTTTTACTTTCATTATATAAGGTGCTTTCTGTGCTTGGAAAATATCTGGTATCTAATGGGGGGGGAGGGTCGGGTGGATAACTGGGTTCAGTTCTCCGGGACCAGTTAACTTGTTTTTCAGAAGTTGCCTCCCCCCACCCCCCCTGCTTCCCACTCCCATCCCTACCCCTGCACAATGGCAACAAATGCTTGTCAAGACTTCCTGTGAGATGTTAAGTGTAAATATTTACTGTGTCAGCTGAATTGCTTAACCAAACTTCGCGATTAATTCTTTTTGGATATTTTAATGTGGAATGATAAAATCAATTAAGGGGTCCATATATTTCTGAGGCATTCTTAAAGAAATCGTTTTTGTGGATGGACAAACAGAATTGTTTCTGAGCAGTTTGTTATTGTTGTTGCTTTTAAGAAAACCTTGGTGGCACAATAGGCAACAAGGGGAGATCTATAGCCAAATTTAAGTGTACTAGCTTAATGAGGGAGTAATAAGTTTTGTGGGGATGGGATTTCTCCACAGTGATTTGCTAACATTGAGAGTTATCTAAGAAAAGAGGGAGGTCGAGCATCTTTGTTTAAAGTTTAATGTGGACTTTAAATTTGGGCCCTTTATTACTCATTCTGAACTCTTTCTTCCTTGTGTCTCAGCTTAGTTTATGTCTCATTCACATACATTTCTTCATTATTACTCATTACACAGCTGATGGTGAGGAACCAAAATGAAGTTACTACCTTGATGGTCTATAGGGTAGCCACTTCCTTGGTTTTTCAGGATTGAATATATTTTAAAACAAGGCACTTTTGATAAATGCTGGGATGTGTTGAGATTTTTTTAAAAAATGTTGCACATTTCTACATACATCTTAAATAACATCTTTTGTTTGTAAATGAGTCTGTGCCCTATTAGAAAATTAGTATCTCTTATTTGAAAAAAAAAAAAGATGGGAGTTAGGATTTGCAGTTTCCTGTGTCACATGAAGCTAGTTCTTCCTTATGTTGTAAAAGATACAATATGTAACTAACTGGGTTTTAGTAAGTATTCCAAATTTTTTATTTTCTTTTACTAGTTTTCAAAAAGTGTCCTAAATTTGTATGCTTTTCTAATATTATTTCTTACTTGAGAAGTCCAAGTGGCAGTTTTTTGCTACACTGAATACTTATTTAAGGTTAAGTTACTTATCCCACAGTATGTGAAAGTTTGATGAACATATTGAATAATGTTTGAAAGAACTATCCCATGTATTTAGTGCATTGTATTTCTAAATCAACTTCTGTTGACTTTCTAGCTGTTGTGAATTCTTCGATGGTTACAATTAGTAAAAATCACTAGACTTTTAACTTTGGATACTTTATATCCCATTATTTTATGATGCATTGTACATTATTTTCAACACAAGTGAAAAACTAGTTCAAAGTCATTAACCTCAACTAGAACTCAGCAAACACTACTTTTTTTAGCATTTTTTTTCAAAATGCAGACATTAATTGTTGTTGTCTGGCATGTCAATGAAAGAATTTTGTTCTGCTCATATGGGTTCAGAATTAGAGTCATGTCCCAAGTTCTTTGTATAAATTAAAGAAAGAACGATCTAGGACTTACCCAGTGCTCTTAGCACATGATTTCTTTGAACATGTTGGTGATATGAAATACCCAGGAAGCAGCTGAAAATGCACTGTGTATGATTCACTGCATTTGAAGATGGCTAACATACCAAATGTATGCATAAGCTGCTGCTGTATGGGGGTTGCGTCATTTCTGATTGGATGGTTTTATTCTTTTTTTCCTTTCCTTTATTAGTTTGAAATGCAGAAGTTTGCTAGTTGTACTGCGGGCTAAGGGAGAGGTAGCTATGAGTGATTTGTGAACTGGTTCAGACTCCTGGGATGAGGCTGAATGAAGTATTAGGCTGGTGACTTTCAAAAACCAGGCTACTGTGACACTTCAAGCCAAAGCTTTTATATATATTTTATTGTTCTCTTGGTGCATTTCTATGCAAATTAACAAGTTATAAGTAAATTTGTAAGCATTAAGTCAGTTCTATATGTGGTTTTTGTGTTAGTTGAAGTGCAAATGGGAAGAACACAATTCATCCTTATTGCCTGCTTACTTAAAAATGATTCAACAATTGAGTGCTAATTTTCTTAATATTTTACTTGTTTCTTTGATTTTTCAAGAAGCAACATTAATACCTCAAATAGAACTTAAAGCCAATGATAGTTTGAAGGGAGGTAGTTTTAACCTTAATTTATGAAATTATTGGCATGCTATTTGTTTACCAATAGGGTCTTTTGTTACTTATCATTTCTTATTTCCCAGCAGATAGACAAGCTACCACTGTTTTCTCAGTTACTCAGAAAATTCTTTTTACCACATGTACTTCATTCTTAAATGCAAATCATTGTAATGTAAACCATGCACAAAGCATCAATTTCTCTTTCTAAATTGTATTCAGTCTACTGAATAAAAATCTTTGTTTTTTTCCCCTTTATTTATATATCTTGGTAATACAGATGGACCAAAGATTTATTAATAAAAGAACAATTTGATAACTTTAAAAATACTGATAAAAGTTGTCACAACTTCCTTGATAGAAATTCATTTTGCGTGTTGAAGTTTAAAAAGCCATGGATACACACATATACATGTGCACCCACAGTTGTTTTTGAACTAAGACATGCCAACTTGAATATGCTTTTGAAAGTAAAGTTGAATGATTCTGTGAAAAACAAAACTTTGAAAAATGCAATTTCTGCCCACTTGTAGGAAGTAACTAAGCAATGTAGGGTATGTTTCCGTGGTGTGAATACTAGGAGATAGTGTAGGGAAAAGCTATGAATTTGTCTTTCATGAGTTAAAAATCAGTAATTGTGCTGTCTCTAATGCAAATGAATTTCATCTCCTATAGGAATGTTAAAGAAAACAGTATCTCAATTGTATTTTGCTTGTATGTACTACATTGTGTATAGATGAATTAAATACCAAAAAGCAAAAAGAAAAAAAAACCCACCCAACCTCAAGCCCTCCCTACAACAAAGGCTTTTGCTGAATCAAGTTTTAATGTTTTAGAAACAGAAAAGACTTTATTATGTTAAAGTCATATGGTAGTCTCCTATCTCAAGAATTTGTTGAAATAAGAATTAATTCCTAGATTTAATTTTATAGCTGTAATGAGTGAATATAATATATATTAGTATAGTACATTTATTAAAGAGGAAATATAAATATTCATCATTAAGGTTACTTTTTAGTTTGCTTTAAGGTTGAATGTTTTCTATTTTTCAAAAGGTTAATTTTTCATATTCTAGAGAGTACACACTTTTGTGACTTCTAAGAATTAAGTATTACGATTAAATGGAAAAGAAAAAAAACTTGGTAGTTTAGGTAATGATGAAGGTTTAAAATTCTAGCTTTGTTTTCAAAAGACTAATCACTTTTAGCCTTGTTTAGTTAAACATTAAAAAGTAATAAGATCTAAAAATCAAAATAGTTCTTATTTGCTTGATTTTTCAGTTCACCTAATGGATATCAATTTTAAATTGTAAATGGACAATTTAAGGAGGCATATAATTGCCAAGCACCTACATTTCAATTCTAGAAGATAGTTCTTGATATATAGTATATTTCCTAAATTGTACTTTTCAACAATAATCATAATTGATAATTATCTTTCCTTGTGGTTATAGTTAATATGACCAGTAAGAGATGGTCTAAGAGTTTTATGTTAAAGCAACATTAGCATTTAATAGATGAGGCAAGATCAGTAATATTTAAAATAAGCCCTTCATACATAATATTCTAAAGTACAATGCTGTATATTTTAAGAAATACTTTTAACTTAAATTTTTTTATGTGAGATTCGAAGATTGAGAACTAATGACATGTCAGAATTTGCATTTTAGCATTACTTTGCATAAACAAGTTTGTGTTTAGTGAGTTAGGGAATAATATTAGTATTTAATCGGGCATAAAAAAGGATGGTAACCTGGACACATTTATTGAAAGTTACAAGATCTGTGAAATACAAATTTCTCTAAGATTTATACATGTTTGACACTTTTAAACTTTTAAAATATTTGCTGTCTGCCGTTGAATCACTCTTGCAAATTTGGTAATGAAACCCTGAAAAGTAGATGAGCAATTTGTCAGAGTTGTTAGGGATATTACTGAGCTAAGTGTGTCATCTCTGATTCAGTGGGGAGTGTACAAGCATGTATTTTGTGAGGGACAGTAGTTCAGACAGATAGTACCAAGAGAGAACAGAAGGAGATCTTTAATTGAGCAACAGTTTCTCTGAGTTTCAGTCCAGACCAGGGTAGGCAATTGAGGCATTGAAGCCTGCAAAGGAATCAGATGTAATGGTATTTTCTCAGAGTGATGCTCGTTTTTTTTTTTTGTTTTTTTTTGGTCAGTTGTGGGGCTTGAACTCTGGGCTTGGGCGCTGTCCCTGCGCTCTTCAGCTCAAGGCGAGCGCTCTACTGCTTGAGCCATAGCACCACTTCTGGTTTTCTAGTGATTTATTGGAGATAAGAGTCTCACGGACTCTCCTGCCGGGGCTGGCTTTGAACTGTGATCCTCAGATCTCAGCCTCCTGAGTAGTTAGGATTATAGGCGTGAGCAACCAGCGCCTGGCTCAGTGATGCTCTTGTAGGTTGCTGATCTTATTATGAAAGTTAAAGCATGGACATATGTAGTGTTTTTGTTTCTGCTTGCTTATTTGTTTTGCTGAACATGGCATTGCAAGAACTATCCAATGTAAAATCTATTTTCCGGGGGCGGGGGGAGGATGGGAAGGGTTGGGAAGGGGAAACAAAGGAGGAGGCTACAATGCTTGATAAGAAATGTACTCATTATCTTGCCCATGTAATTGTAACCCTCTGTACAGTATTTTCACAATAAAAAATAAATAAAAATTTAAAAAAATCTATTTTCTTTCCTAATTATCTTAGTATTCTTTCCCAAGAGTGATTTTGTGAAAGACTTAGGATCTCCTCTCCTCCCCTCCCCTCTTTTCTCTCTCCTCTTGTCTTCTCTTCGCTTCTTTTTTTCTTTTTCAACAAGGTCTTTCTCTGTTTCCCAGGCTGTCCTCAAACTCTTTATTCTTCTGCCTTAGCTTCTCACCATGCTCATTTTACAAACCATTTTTTAAAATTTTATGAAATTTTAGTTTATGCATTTTTATTTAGAAATGATATACTTTGAAAGCCAGTTATTTTGTATAGCACAAATACTCTGAGTCAATCTTAATAGAAGCAACATAGCATTGATATTTATTTGGAAGCTATTAAAAAGTTGTATTATAAATTTCAAAAAATACATTTAAAGTTATGTTTAAACAATATAGAAATACCCCTAGTGTTTTTTTTCTTTTTTTTTTTGGTGTTAGTGACTAGTAGGCTTGGCTAAAAAGAACTTATTATTTTTGTGTGTATGCTGGTCCCTGTGATCTATTGTGCTTAAAGGTAGTGCTCTATGCTTAAACACAGGTCCTCTTCTGGCTTTTTTGGTGGTGAGTTGGAGATGAAAGTCTCATAGACCTTCCTGCTTGGGCTTGCTTTGAACTGTGATCCTTCCATCTCACCTCCTAAATAGTTAGGATTACAGGCATGTGCTTAGCACATGTAAATTACTGTCTAAAACTTTTAGTCAGAAGCATATCTCAAAAAGCTATGTCTAAATTTTCTATTTGAAAGATGGGAGGTTATGTTTAACATGCCCAAATAATTGATTAGTCAAGTTTTATCATACATTCAACCTCAAGTTCAAATTAGTTTGAGGACTCATTCATAATAATGTCACTAAACAAAATAAGTAAACAAGTACTTATAAATGAGAGATAAGATTTTACTCCCATTTATTACCATTAAAACATTTAAAATCTTACTTTATAACTTGACTTGATGCTTACAAGCTTATAATTTTCATTTGGTGGCATGGACTGTATGGGTTCTATTTTGGGCAGCAAAATTGCAGAGTGCTCACAGCATTATTTTTAAGGTTTTACTTTTCCTGTTTTGATTATAGATTTTAGTCTGGTCTCACCATAAAATAGCGAAGAGAAATTATTTTCTTTTTCATAAAATTTTACATTCTATTGCTTTGGTTGCAAGGAAGGAGGGACAGTATATTGTAACTGTCTTTTTTTGGTTCAGAGTTTTTGTTGTTTTTTTTGTTGGTTGTGGGGCTTGAACTCTGGGCCTGGGCATTGTCCCTTAGCTCTTCAGCTCAAGGATAGCACTCTACCAGTTGAACTACAGCACCACTTCTGGTTTTCTGTTGGTTTATTGGAGATAAGAGTCTCATGGACTTTCCTGTCCGG